AAATTAGGTATTATTTCCCCCCAAATTCGAAAATCTACTTCCCCGAAAAGTCGATATTCTACTTTCCCGAAAAGTAGAAAATCTATCTACTTTTCGGAAAAGTAGATAACCAACTTTCCCGGAAAGTAGATATTTCCCATTTTTATGATACAAATTTCCCGTTTCTTATGATAATCTACTTCGCAAAATTAGGTAATATTTCCCCAAAATTCGAAAAATCTACTCCCACGAAAAGTCGATAATCTACTTCTTCCCGAAAAGTAGGTTCATCTACTTTCGAAAAGTAGATAAATCAATCTCTTCCCGGAAAGTAGATATTTCCCATTTTTACATACAAATTTCCCGTTTTCTCTATGATAATCTACTTCGCAAAATTAGGTATTATTTCCCCAAATTCGGAAAATCTACTTCCCCGAAAAGTCGATATTCTCACTTTCCCGAAAAGTAGAAAATCCATCTACTTTTCGGAAAAGTAGATAACCAACTTTCCCGGAAAGTAGATATTTCCCATTTTTTATGATACAAATTTCCCGTTTTCTATGATAATCTACTTCGCAAAATTAGGTAATATTTCCCCCAAAATTCGAAAATCTACTCCCACGAAAAGTCGATAATCTACTTTCCCGAAAAGTAGAAAATCTATCTACTTTTCGGGAAAGTAGATAACCAACTTTCCCGGAAAGTAGATATTTCCCATTTTTTATGATACAAATTTCCCGTTTTCTATGATAATCTACTTCGCAAAATTAGGTAATATTTCCCCCAAAATTCGAAAATCTACTTCCCCGAAAAGTCGATAATCTACTTTCCCGAAAAGTAGAAAATCTATCTACTTTCGGGAAAGTAGATAACCAACTTTCCCGGAAAGTAGATATTTCCCATTTTTTATGATACAAATTTCCCGTTTTCTATGATAATCTACTTCGCAAAATTAGGTAATATTTCCCCCAAAATTCGAAAATCTACTCCCCGAAAAGTCGATAATCTACTTTCCCGAAAAGTAGAAAATCTATCTACTTTTCGGGAAAGTAGATAACCAACTTTCCCGGAAAGTAGATATTTCCCATTTTTTATGATACAAATTTCCCGTTTTCTATGATAATCTACTTCGCAAAATTAGGTAATATTTCCCCCAAAATTCGAAAATCTACTCCCACGAAAAGTCGATAATCTACTTTCCCGAAAAGTAGAAAATCTATCTACTTTTCGGAAAAGTAGATAACCAACTTTCCCGGAAAGTAGATATTTCCCATTTTTTATGATACAAATTTCCCGTTTTCTATGATAATCTACTTCGCAAAATTAGGTATTATTTCCCCCCAAATTCGAAAATCTACTTCCCCGAAAAGTCGATATTCTACTTTCCCGAAAAGTAGAAAATCTATCTACTTTTCGGAAAAGTAGATAACCAACTTTCCCGGAAAGTAGATATTTCCCATTTTTTATGATACAAATTTCCCGTTTTCTATGATAATCTACTTCGCAAAATTAGGTAATATTTCCCCCAAAATTCGAAAATCTACTCCCACGAAAAGTCGATAATCTACTTTCCCGAAAAGTAGAAAATCTATCTACTTTTCGGGAAAGTAGATAACCAACTTTCCCGGAAAGTAGATATTTCCCATTTTTTATGATACAAATTTCCCGTTTTCTATGATAATTTATTAGTCACAGTACAGGGTATTGATAAATATTCAGTCACACACACTGCAGGAGCAGATAGGGATATGTTTGCATAGAATGGGAGTTTCATTATGCATGCTCACTTATGGTTGTCTGTCATAGTCGATGACGACTCTGCTTCGTTATAAAATCAGTGGTGAGTGGTCAACTAGGCATGTTGTCGGCGGTGTCACTGGATGTAGCTGTGGAGTCCGATCCTTAACCCACAGACTCGATCACACAATGGGCAGGACAACTCCGGGTTGTATGGGAGATCTCTGGGAGCGCGATTGTGTCTCCTCTCCCTACATGCACATCTGGCCCTATTGCGCTCGTTCTCAAGATGTTTGACACCTTGGGTACAAGTGGAATGCCATAGACTTCGGTCGGATCTAATGGTCTCGAGATCCTTTGGATGGATGTTACATTTTTTGAGTGTCAGTCTGAGCTGGTCTTTGTACCTTTTGCATTGTCCACCAGGGTTGAAGTGTGCCTCGGGCAGCTGCCCCACAGAGGTTCTGACAGGTGGGGTCAGTAATCTGGCATGTGGATGACGTGACTCGTCCATTGCATCTGTCGCTTCACCAGAAATGCCTCTATGATGGTAGTGTTGGCGCACAAGAGGATATCAGTATGAGGAACTTTGTCCTGCCAGGTCAGACCAAGAATGCGCTGCAAACAACGGATATGGAAGGTCTCGAGAGTTCTGACATGCATTTGGTACATAATCCACGCCTCCAAACCAAATAAGATGGCAGACATACAGACAGCTTGGTAAACAGAAAGTTTGGTTGTGACTTTGAGGCTGTTATTGTTAAATATTCTGGAGCACAGACGACCAAATGAGGCAGCTGCAAGATGGATCCAGGCCTGGATCTCCTCGTCGATGTTGTGCTTGGTAGTAAGAATGCTACCGAGTTAGGTAAAATGTTTTACTTGTTTGACAAGCTCTACATTAACTACGAATGCAGGTGGTGGGTCTGCACCTGTGTTGAGCAATATCTGTTGTTGTTTTTGTTTTTATGTTGAATTGCAGCCTGATATACTGTGGAGACAACCGAGAGACTGTGTTGGCAAGTTTCTGGAGAATGAGCCACGAGTTTGATGTAGTCAGCATATTGGAGCTGCAGGGGGTGAGAAGTCGGTGTTTTTGTTATTACCTGCATGCGGTGGAGGTTGAACAGGTCGCCGTCTAAACGGAATTGGATCTTCACGCCATCATCGTCGTTCATGGAGTTATGGCACTTCCCCTTCGTCCTTTAAGGGCCCTGCTAATAATACTAACAGAGTATCTAAGGTATTATCTTTAGACTTACTTGGGCTGCACAAGAGATGTGGTACACGGTAAGAGCACCAACCGACGACAGGAATAATGATTTCTTCTCTTCAGCGTCTGAGTTCTTGTTCATCATGAAAAACTGGTCCATCTGCTCATAGTACTCCTCCCACAACACCTGGTCTCCCTCCCAGTAGACCTCAGAGGTCCCGAACCGAGGCATCATCTTGTCTTCACATACAGTCCCTCTCTCAGACTCGGAATCTCATTCCAGTTACCACTTGTATTACAGGGTAACTCTGGACTTGGGATAGGAGCAGGTAAACACAGGCTGCTTGCTTCTTCTATTCCCGTCTAAGTCACTTTGAAGTGACTTATACTCGTTACACGATCTTCCAATACAATTAAGTTACCTAATAGATAGGTAATTGAACACCACGCCATCAGGATACTATCTAGAATTGGAATGGAATGCCATCTGGAAGGCAGAGGTCACTCAGCAATGTGTTGGGCTAATCTGCAAAGCATAACTTTGGCAAGTACATTACTTTACCTGCTACAGACAAGAGATATACCTCAGCATTTGCCACAGATGGAACAGTCACATATTTCTTGTAGATTGCCATAGACCAGGTGGCAAGAATGAATTGTTGGAGATGCTGGAGGAGAAGGTAGCCCTCCATCTTAAAGATTTCTGAAAGCAGGCTGTCTGGCCCGGCACTTTTGTTGTTTTCGAGGCCCTGGATAGCTCGAAGCATCTCAGAGAACTCAAGTGCTGTATCAAGTTCTACCACTGGGGACAACTCTGGGATGGTATCCAATATGTTGGGCTTAGAAGGGTTCCTTTGGTTGAGAAGTCTATCGAAGTGTTCTGCCCATCGCTCCAGGATTTGCCATTTGTCCTGAAGAGGTTCACCATCAAGTAATCTCAGTGGAGTGATGTGGCACTTGAAAGAACTATGAATGGCTTTGGTAGCATTGCAGAAGCCCTGATGATCGTTTTCTTTGGCAAAGCTCAGGATTTCTTGACCTCTGGCCTGCCATCACTCATTTTCCATGTCTCTCAAAGTCCTCTGTGCTTTGGCTCTGAGTGGACACCAGTTGACTCTAAGGGCAGCAGATTGTGAGATTGTGGGTTTGAAAAGTATCTTGAGCTTTATTCCTGGTAACAAGAAGTTCTCATCAAACCAGTCCCAGTGTTGTCATCTGGTAAAGCCGAGGATGTCCTTTGCAACTTCATATATTGGCTAGCAATCAGTTTGTTTGATTACTAACTGATTGATTGACAACTAATTTTACTATTGTAATTTTTGCTTGTTTCAGGTAGTGTCAGCGCATGGAATCCCACTTATGACAACTGCACAGAAGGCACAATGCATTGAATGGTTTATTGAATCCAAATCCATTACCATGCAAAAGATCCACTTGACCACTTCATTAGGAATGATTGGATGACCATATCCTTTATTGTGTAGTCTCGGATACTGTTTTTGATGGAGGATCCTTCCTTATGTTGTACGGAAGTTCCACTGAGTTTGGGTAATGGATTTGGATTCAATAAACCATTCGACACATTATGCCTTCTGTGCAGTTGTCATAATTGTGATTCCATGCAGCGACACAAAACTTTAATCAGAGAGAAACAACCGAAATAATGATGTGATTAAGAAAGTATCTTGGCAGTGCTAAACACATGCTGTACAGGTAAAGTAAAGTGTGTTAGAGAATAATGAGGTGTACAAACTGACACAAACACTATAGCTTTCCTTGGACATGATAGTATCCACTTTACTGTACCTTCTGGTCCATCATCATAGAACCTTAACATAACAGCCAATACCTCAGCCCAAAGTCCTCCCTTTATACATACTTTAATAGACTATCTCCACTAACCCCTTCAATAAGAGGAAGCCACTTCTAATATTTTATTTGGCTTATGCCAGATGATTTTATTCAGCTCAGAGGCGACACCATACACAAGGGTTTAATGATTAGTCTGCACACTTTTTCTACATTATTACTAAAGATTAGTAGTATTAATAAAGACAAAGAAAGTACAGAATATTTAAAGGTTTTTATTTACATTTCACAGATACAGGTACAGCCTGTATGACAAAAGCAACCATAGTGTCACAACACCCACTACTCATCGGCCTTCAACAAATAACCTCCTAATTTACCTTAATTTTCTAAAGAAAATAAATACTACATAGTGTACTTCTTTTTTTATTAAATACAGGCAGTCCCCGACTTACGACAGGGATACGTTCCAGGACCCTGATAGTAATTCGATTTGCTGGTAAGTCAGAATAGTGTTAATTCCATAAGTTACGTTAAAGTACAATCCTGTCCATACAAAACAACAATAATATCCCATACATAACAAATAAAGTAAATACTGTAAATAAAGTGATGATAAACGACATAGAATAATGAAAATTATGGGAAAAAATGAGATTTTAATTACAAATTTTTGCGATGAATATATTGGGATCCCAATCTTAAGTGTGGGTGTTCGTATGTGGGACGGTCGGGGACTGCCTGTACCTGTCGTTCATTCACCATAAATAAAAATTATCCTTATCTATACAGTAATTTACCTTACAATAATATAATTATTTGAACTTTGCATCTTCATGTTTCTATTATCCTTTATAATAGACCTAAGATAATTATTTTATGGCAAAATAACTGAAAATATTTGAACACCTACTTGATGTTGGTTATAAGGCTCCTGAACCTGTACCAATAACAATATACATCTATGACTATGTTTTACACCCAAAATAAAAAGATTATCCTGTATTTCCACATATCGTTATACTGTTCAGTAAAACCTCACTGAGGAGGACGAACTGGAGGGGGAGGGGTGTCTGGGATAAGAGGTTGTCCACCTTAGAGCAAATTTTTCCAAAAAGACCACCATTTAAAAAAAAAACGAGTACAATACCAATGCATCCAAGTTTTATGAAAGAAATACAGTAAGTCCTCACTTAACGTGGTTTCGTTCCTGAAAACCGTGACGTTAACGGAATCAATTTTCCCTAAAAGAAATAAATAAAATACGGGAGTTACGTTCCCCAGCCTCCCTTTGCCCCATAAAATACATTACATATTCATAAATTTAATGGAATTTTTATTGAAAATAGTATATATTATACATCCAAAAAGATAAATAAACTACAGGTAAATCATTTTGTATTGTATTCACTGATGGGCGGAGGTGGAGCGAGTGTGTGGTGGGCAGTGGAGAGGAGGAGGGTGGTGAGTCACTGAGACCCGGAGGGTGGCTCCTCCTCCCGCTATGACTGGGTGAGAGAAGGTGATGCATCGTACAAAGTAGTCCGTGACGACATTATACCGAATCAGCGGGACGTTTGAATCATGGGTATCTAAAGAAATGAAACGTTATAACAAAACAATGTTGTCGGGGACAACGTTAAATGAGGACTTACTGTACATGTTTTTTAATAAAAATTAATTAAAAAAAGTAATGTACATAAAGTACTGTACACTTACTTTAGCTCACTGATAAGGTCTTTGGCATAACCTTCTCATCACCCTTATGGAAGCCAAACACTTTCTTAGGGGCTATGGTTATTGTTTAATATTTCAATAATAATGCAAAAAATATGAATGCAACTTCAGCCTATGGTGAATGTACTAAATGTATAAAAACAATAAATAATTAAATAAAAAACACTGTATTTTACGGTAGGGAGTATTTAGGAAAAAACTTTTGTGTGTATTTTCCTCCTGTGGCCATAGTTTTCTTAAAATAATATACAGTACTGAATACACTATCAGGAAATGTGAGGAATAAATAAAAATAATACCAACAAAAACTACTCTATCGCCAAATCAGTAAATAAAAGCCAAATTAAAGTCCAACACAGTCGCCATCTACATATACTCCCCCGTTTCACCATAGTAACAAACATTAGCTAGGACGCCAATTCCCTAGCAACGCCCCCCCCCCCCACCTCTACACTCTGTGACCGTCTTCCCCTTCCTCACTCAGCCAGTTAACTCATGGGCAAAGAAATGTATACAGTATTCCCTTTATGTTTTTGCCCTTAGGACAATTATTTCTTTTACTTTTTTCACAATATGTATGTAGGATGGTGTGTGCATGTAACTGAGTAAAAATAAATGAATTAAGTTAGGTTTATCTACTCAAAATTAAGAGTTGAAAACCAACTAAAACACCACAGCTTGGCCCAGTAGCCTGGTGGTTACAGTGACGAGTTTAAACTGGCTACAATGCCATGATTAATCACTATTAAGTACTATTATATCAGTAAATACTAATAACAACAGTAAATCCAATGAAATATGGCAGGGAGGGATATAACTGCAGACGACGCTTTATCTAGTGGTCAGTCACTCGCTCCCGTTGCCAGGTGTACAGTACGTATGAGAGAAATACATATCTTGTAGTCTAATTTCAAAACAGTGATGGGCACAGTGATAAACAAATGATAAAAGCCAAGCATTTACCTATGATAATATAATAAGAAGCATTGTATCATTACTAGAGTGAATGAAATAATATTCCCCAAAACAACAATGATAACTCTCGGGCACCTGTGTCCCACGCACTGATGCCTTGGTCCCTAGAAATTTTGCAGACATGTCATCGGAGGACAAATTTTGTCCTAATTTCTTATTTACTTTTTACATTATTTTTAGGAAAACAAATTTGTTCGGCTTAAGCGATATCCGCCTTAGCGGGGTCCGCCTTAACGAGGTTTTACTGTATTCACAAATGACTACCAAATACTGTATAAAAATAATTCAGGGTAACAAAATAAATCCATCTCTTCCACTGACACCAACACAACATACACCTTCACTAGTTTGTCAATGTGAATGTCAAATAAACATAATTTGTCTATGAAGAAAACTGTAAAGGGGTTGAAGCCATATCAGAATAATGTTCTATAATTTACCAAGTGAGGAACTGACTCTGAAATCTCTTTATGAGCCAGCTGAGAAGATACTACAGTACAGCACAACAGAGCCATATTATCATGGGAACACTGGTAATGGTAAAACACAGACATCTTCCATCTACAGTATGTACACCAATCCATTGACTTGCAGATGGAAGACAGCTCTTCAAAGATATGGATGTTGACATTTATGATTAATACAGTAAGACATAAAGGAATTTAGCCACTTGTGCATGGGGTCCCCTCTCAGCTGAATAAAATTATCTGGCATTGACCAAATAAGACATTAAAAGTGGTGTCCACACCACAATGTGGATCATCTTTAATCACAAATACGGATTTTAAGATCAACCCCTCATTTATGAGCTGACACTGTGGACTGCACAGAAGCCAGGTATGACATGAAAGGAACAGCTATGAGGGCACTTGTTAGTCTTACATATAATGCCCAATTCCCACTCTGTATAGGACAGTTGGTGATAGAAAGAGCATCCAACTGTAAAACTTGTGTAAAATTTGCCTGGTGGTAATCAGAACACCATGTCATCAGGTAATTACTGTCAACCCATACAAGTGTGGAAAATGGGCATAAAAGTGACAATGATGCTGGCTCTACCCACTGAATCTCTCACATCACATCATACAGTATCAATAAAATCATATACGTATAACAAATGACGACTGTGACTAAGTGAAGAGCCAGATGAAAAAGTACATTTTCTTAAGTGCACTTATGAGCTACATAGCTGAGCTTTACTACAAGGGACTATTTACCCCTAGTAACAAGTTATAAAAAATAATTCATCTGCAAAATTATGGGCAGCTTTATATTATATTTGTATGAAATTAAACTTAGAAAGCTAGTCTTGAATGCAAGACCTTCTTTCAGACCTTATAAGTTACTGTTGAGATCAATTATAGATCTTTAATATTACATCAAAAATCTCTGATCAACAAGAGTTTTGTGAACCACATTCTTTCTTCCACCTGTGTAGCGAATTTTTTTAACTAGGTACGAAAAAATGAAAGTTACAATGGCTGCCAGTACAAAATCATATGAAGTTAAATCAACAAATGTGAAAAGTAGCATCTCAAACAACACAAAAGTTATCTCGTGCCCATAAAAGAGAACTCGATCAAAGGCATGGTTGTTATTCCTAAAGAAGAGACATCTGTCGTCTGCCTCTTGAAACTCAAGATCTAAAACACTCTCCAAAAAAAGCTTTTCTTTAACAATATAATCCAAATCTTTAAGAGCATGCTGGAGAAACATGTCGAAGAATCTTTTCATGATTTCATATGCTTGAAAGCTTTGTTCCATCTCTTCAGAAGCCATTCTGCCTCGACCTACTGGCCTTCTTATACCTGCAAACCCATGCACAGGCTGCAAAATGGTATCATACTGCTCTCTAAACTTATAAGTAATAGCCACTTCAAATATCTGGCATTCACTAGAAGGCTCAAGACCTCTATTCCCACACAAGTCTTCTTCTTCTTGTTTCATTTGTTCATATATGGACTGCATATCAACATCAGCATAACCATGAGCAGAGCGGCCATGAATGTAATAGCCATACATTTTATGCTCTAGAATAAAAATACTTATGTTAGCAATGGAACAAAGATCAATAAACTGTTGGAGTTTGTTTTCAACATAACGTTCATAGAAGGCAATCTTAAAGATCCACTGTACAGCAGCAATAACACCATACACTGATATACTGAGGGCAAACCTGCACACATAACTCTGAGGAGAATTATGGCTTTCATTGTTAAGAATAAACTTACTATTGGGATCAGCGGTGGAAAGATTTTCAAATCCAATTACTTTCAAGAAGAAAAGAGTAAAGAATAACTGGCAGCCCACATCTATTCTTCTGTAGGTTTGTAGTTCATTCCATTCATTGGCTATAAAATAGGTTCTCCATATGCTAATTGGCTGCTCTGTTTTTGCCTTCCCGTCATCCTTAAGATTTGTAGACAACTGTGGATGAGGAATAGAATTTCTTGCCCTCGGTTTCTCCCAGTCAATAATGAACATATCAAGAGTAATCTGAACATAAACTATTTGAATGACTTGAATAAATTTTAAGAAACAAGCAGCTGTAAGATATTGTTTAATAAGTAATTCCTGATTTTGAGTTAAGAGAAAGGAATGCACGACATCCTGCCTTTTGAAGAAGATCGTCCAATAGAAACAAGCAAAGAAAACAACCAGGAAGAACATGTTGGCAAGATTTCCACAAGCAATTACAATAAAGTGATAAATGGTGAGCAAATCCAAGCCAAGTTTTCCACATCGTCGAGACCAACTCCAAACTGCTACCAGCGACCATAGGGCAGCGAAGGCACTCATCACACCGATGGCAATGGATAAATCTTCACGGATTTGGGAGAAATTCATAGTATACAATACCTTTATGGCAGTCTCCACCTTGTTATTTGTGTTGTAATATTCATCAGTAACTTCACCATAATTTATTTTTATCACTGGAGGGTAAATCAAACCATCTCCTTCTCCCTCACGCAGCCGGACTATTATTTGAATGTTCCGAGCGTATCTCACAACTCTGGCTCTATTCTCCTTATCCTTAGTGTTTAGTGAGAGAGATTCCTTCCCACTGAGGTTGTCAAACAGGAAAAACCTCCTTGTAAGTTGCCATTTTTTCTGACTTTGTTGATTCACTGAAGATCCACTTTCTTTATAATTTTCATTAAGAACTGGAATGGCATAAATCATATGCTCTTCATCATCATAATACTGTAAAAACACATCATAAAACTCTGTGGTATACTTATTCCATAAGTCTTGAACATTTATGGAACAGCTCTGAGAAAATGTTTTTCCAAACTGAACAACATCACTCAGTTGGAAATCAATAAAAGGACAAAGGGTTAATACATCTTCCAACCTTCCATATGCCAGCAGATGACCCTCAGCTGAATACTTTGCTACAGTAAAGTTAAGTTTGAAATTAGGATTGTCTTTTTTAAAACTGTAGTGTGTTTTCAATCTGGCTTTAGAGAGATAGATGTTTGCTTCTCCTTCAGGATAATACAACCAAGGGACATGATCTGGTAAATTAACAAAATTATCCCCAAATTCTTCTCTATAATACTCACAAGCATTGAATTCATCATTAAAGTTAAAATGCAAAAGAACACAAATATTGCTCAGAAGCTGACAAGCTGATTTATTTTGATTGAATGTACATGAATGAGCTGCCATTCTATAGTTAGCTTCCAAAAAAGAAGACTGCACTTCTTCCCCATTATCAAATTTCACAACATAACAACTCTTCTTATCTGGGATTTTAGAAAGCTCTGACAGTGGTGTGCAGATGCCACCAAGTTCAACATGAGTTTTGGGACATGTGCAAGAGTCACCACTGGCAGTATAGAAAGATGAATGACATGGAATGCAATCCTTTTCTCCTGGAACAGTATCATTGGTACATTCTACACAAGACATGCTACCTAAAAATGTTCCATTCAGAGTTTTATCAACCATAACAGAAGTCTTGGAGCAAGGGTCACATTCCTGGGTAGTGTCATTATAGGAGGAGGATTCATGACAGGGAACACAACTTCTTTTGTCTCTAGAGGTGACATATGAGGGAGGACAAGCCTCACATTTAAGATTATATCCATTAATAATTGACCTAAAACCAGGCTGGCAAGTACAGGTGTAGGGATCTTCCACAGCAGTCTGATTTAATGGGCAACTCATACACTGAAGACTCACTTCATCAAAATATTCATTATCAGTGCACGACTCAGCCTCTGAAAATGTAGTAAATTCACGATTACGAGCACTGGAATGATGTATAGCTAATAAGAGCAATGTACAACATGACACCTTAAATAAAAGTAACATGTTTACAACCTTCTTCTGTTATTCTTTCAGTTCATGACACTACACTGGTTCTCACCACCTTGTGCCAGTAGCTACTTATATCTTGTGGTGTGTATGTTGACTTCATACTGATTACTGTAGTCCATCTTTTAATGCCCATCTTCTGTGTTTATCTGAAAATAATTAATACTGTACACAACATACTACATATTATTATTATTATTAAAATAATGATAATAATAATAATACTATAATAATGGATGCCCAAAGTGTTAGAGATTGGCCGGCCCTAAGGCCACCTAGGCATAATTTGTATAAGATGTAGATGCTGTCACCAACATAAAAACCGCACCCTATGTTAAAGAGCTGTATGACCCAGTGTCAAGGAATAATTCAAGAACAGACAATTCACCAACTGCACTGGCTAACAATTACCCCAGAACATGATCTGCAAATCGATTAACATCCAGGTTCCCAATTACTGCTGCACAGACAGAGGTAAATGGCACAAAGAAACTTGCCCATAGAGGTAGTTTCACCCTCCCCAGGGATCGAACCCGGGTCCACTCACTTGTGAAGCGAGTATGCTGATTATTACACCACAGGTATAAACTATATATATATATATATATCACTTCAAAGGATAGTTATTATGGCACTAAACAAGCCCTGAAGTGGGTACAGGTATTCCACTCAACACTTAGGTAGCAGAAATTTGAAAGAAAAAGTTATATTTCCAATTTGAGGATTTCAATAAAAACTCCATATATCAGCATTCAATAAGTTAAAACAAAACGGGATAACTGTTATATTTAAATAGTCGGCAGGAGCTAAATCATGAGCAAGAACTCGACAAGCCGGCCCAAACTTGGCAGACCTGAGCATCAGTTTATGTGTGCCTCTCATCACGGGTAAACCTCCACTCGTTTGAGGTAACCTACAGAGCCATTATTTCACTCTTCTCATGGATTTACTAATTGTCTGCCTCTGCAACATCTTCTAAGATGGCCTCTACCAAGAAGAAAGGCAGACAGCTAAAAATCTTGCCTACTGAACAGACACTGAAAGTGCTTGATTGTATATATATGCTGATGTCTCTGTAAGTATAATATGTGAGGAGCTTAAAACCTCCTCCGCCTTCTATGACATCATGTCTTCTGGCAGTGATTAAGTGTCTGTGAAGTGTTACAGTACATATAATGTTCAGTGTTACCTAAGTATGAAATGTAGTCTTAAATTTATCAGAACAATAATTTACAGTGTCTGTGACGTGTTATTGTTATGTATAAAGCATACAGTATTGTACATACAGTATTGTTAAGGTTATCGGAACAATTTACTGTACTGTACAGTGCCTGTGAAGTGTTGCACACAATACAGTACAGTTCACCTGCCTCTTATAAGCTCATCAAGAAATCACCCCTGGCTGTTGGTAAGAAACTAATCCAACTCAGCCCCACGAGGGAGTTTTACTATATTAATACAAAATCACAGTAACCGACATAATTTAACTATAGCTACTTAAAACTTACATATTAACACAAAGGACAATACTATGCAATATTTCATCAAGGATAACACAGATATTTCAAAATGTTTTATCATTGTCTCTAAGAAATTTAACTAGTTACTGTAGGACATTTCACCATAGAACATAAAAGGCCTTCTTACCTCTAGAAATTGATGAAAATTGCATGAGGAACGCCACATGTTATAAATTCTATGATTTCGTTCAGCTTCAATTAACAGAAGCGGGCGGTGCTGCCAATCAACGCCATAATGTCTTCTCGGTGATCACGTGTAGAATAGCAGCAGCAGTTCTAAAAAAAATTGTTCTTGAAGATTTGTTTTGGTTTGGTTTTTTCAAGGCAGTATTGTAGGTTAGGTGAATGTAGCATTTTAGGTTAAGTAAAGGCAGCATTTTAGGTTAAGTAAAGGTAGTATTTTAGGTTAGGTAAAGGTAGTAGTGATATCCCCGTTAGCCGGAACAATTGGTGCAGAGCACTTCCGGGAATGAGAGATTTCCGAGTAACGAAACGACTCTCTCAAAGCCGGAAAAAATCTCTCATCCCCGAAATTTTCCGGGTAACGGAAAAATGTCCACGGAAGTTCCAGAAATTGCCCGTTTCATCATCTCTCGAACCCAGAAAAATATCCCTCATCCCCGGAATTTTCCAGGTAACAGAAAAATAGTCTCAGAATTTCCAGAAAATGCATCTGATTATTATCTCTCAAACCCGGAAAAAAATCCCCCATACCCGGAATTTTCAGGAATTTTCCAGGTATCGGGAATTTTCTTTGGAATTTTCCGGAAAATCTGCCCCTTGGAAAATTGTTCCCAAAGTCGGAATTTTCAGGAAAATTCCGGCTTTGGAAACGATTTTCCGAGAAAATTTAAATTCCGGCTACCGGAGAGTTACGGGTTTGAGGGATTCCGGCTAAGGGAGATATTACTGTATTTTAGATTAGGTAAAAGTAGTTCACTGTAAGGTAGCTGATTGCCTGGGGAACGGACATGCAGAGAGTCTCTACAGTTCTTTAGTATATTGTATTTAAATTGTGGTACAGGTATTTTCTAGGATAATAACCTTCCTGTGTTAATCTCTGATAATTTCAACAATTAGGGAAGCATACAGATCTAGCATGTGAACTGCACTGCCATCATAATTATCATAAAGAGAACCCCCCCAAAAAATATATACAAAATTTCAGCAACATCTTCACCCAATTGGTGATGTCACACGACAATGGGGAGTTTACACAGTTGAACTTGTACATCATGTTCATGTTCCCTTTACAGGCAAATATTTGCTTCCCCAAATGCAGAAATTATCAGATATCAACACAGAAAATGATTTATCCCTTAAAATATCAGTAAATAAATATGGTTGATAAAATACTTGTACTGAAGAACTGAAGTGATTCTTCGCCTGTCAACCAATCAGCTACCTTGCTACAAACTGACCCTAGGCCTCAGTTGCAAGGTTTGAGTGAACAGAGTACAGTACTGTATAGGCTAAGTTGGTTAGGTAGGATAGTTTGGTTAATTTGAGAACCATATAGTATTATATAATAGAATGTAGCAATATCTTGTATTTCATGAACATTAACACTTTTCAGGAGTTGCCATGAGGGATCATTGATAAGTAAACTACCTAACATAACTAATAAAACCAAACTTTGCCTTAAATAGCTGCTAGTAATACCGAGTTTCAAGATTAAATAAAAAAAATAAAAAATGAAAACACCCAATTCCAAGATACCCCAATATGAAAACCACGGCTGGTAGACCTTACTGTCCTCTCAGTACACGAAGATGTAAGTAAGCATAAGAGCTACCTCAACACAAAATACTGCTCGTGCATTATCCATAAATTTCACTTATTAAAAAAGTATTTATATTTCATAGTCAAATATCCTCACAGATGTTCTTTGGATGATAGGGGTTATAAAAATTATATGACAATGCACAGAACCTAATAGAAACTGACCTAACCTTACCTGGCTTCCTATCCGTCCCGACATTTTAAGCAAAAACAACTCACATCAATTTATCGATTTCTGGTACCAATGAAAGCAGCTGTCTTGAAGCGGCATGGTGCAATGTGGATGTGTGAGTACGCTCCGACTAAGCGGCTCGGTTGTTGCACTGAAACAAACAAAGAGCGGATAACACGAGAGGGCACGGCAGATCTTTTGGTGGAATATTTACGGTAAATAATTTTTTGCTAATTTCTAAGAACATCACTACCACCGGAAGGCTTTGTTTAATTTCATAGATGTTCTTATCATTACAGTAATAATTATAAATGAGGCAAAAATTTTTTTTTTAAATACTCTTATTTTTTTTTATCTATCTACGATCATAAATCACCTGTAGTGAGCAGGGCATGAAGGACGAGGGAAATTGTGGGGGTAAAACACGGTGAAAAACTGATCATATGACACAATAATGATGTCTTACACCTGCTTTATGCGTGAAGAATTTATTTATTTATAGTAAATACTCCTCTGAAAAATCTGTTGAGTTAGCGCATTGTCGACTGCTCAGTACATATGTAGTTTACAACTGACCCGCTGGGTCCGAGCATAATCTCACGTCCACAAAAAAACATAAAATTACACCATGACGCTTCAGCAAAGTTACTTTCATTGGTCCCAGTTATCAAAATAAGTACTTTCTCTTTATTTAGTGGATGTTTTTCCGTGACTGGCTAAGTTCCTACTTAGCCAGTTTCCCGTGAGTGAGCTCTGATTGGTTAAGTAATTTCTGTTTAATATTACCTGGCTTTGAAGTTAGGTAGTCTAGGTAAGTTTCTTTGGTTGGTTAGGTCAGGTTCTATTGGGTTCTAGTAAATGTCGCCTCTTTTAAAATACTTACTATAATGACAATAACATTTGTGGAAAATCTGAAAGAAATCAAACAACTCTTTCTAGTATAGTGCAGTACCAAGCATGCAGAGACATCATTTTTGTCATTTGATCAGATTTTTGCATTGTTTAACCCATAATTTTCCTCAACATATATATACCCTGTCCACTACATGTGAATTATGATAGTAGATAGAAAAAAATACTTATGATTAGAATAGTTAGTACAGTATAATTATTCCCATCATCCAAAGAATAGGTGGAAAAATTTAACATAATCATACAACTCCTTCTGGTCTTAGCCCTCTGCTCTAGTATTACCTAAACATTTAATGAGGACAACACATTAAGTAGCAGCAAATATTACTGTAATACCAATGACCGATATGATCTCTGACGTTCATATCAAAAATAATACTTTATCTTGTTTATCTTCTCCATTTTGTTTTGAATAATTTGTAGCTTGGCTTTAAGTATGTTAAATTAAAGAGAAAACATCAACCTAATACACATATCAATAGGATAATACCTCAACATACCTGACGTTAACATCCCTCAGCTTCCTCCAGTGTTTACAGCTTAAGCTTCACTGTCAGGGTTGCCAACTCGGGTTTTCAAATGTCGCTAGGCTGGTACCTAAAAGTAGCTAAATGTCGCTAAATCTTCCATGGAAAGTCGCTAGCTATTATTCCCAAGTTTCTTGAATGGTAAAATTGTCTGTCTCTCTGCACTAAACGGCTCTTCTGCTTTCTTGTGTTTTTTAGTGTTTTTGTGTTTTTCAATGTCGCACAACTTAACAGACAAAGTACACTTGCAAAATTTACAAAATCCTTTTTTATTATCTCCTGGCACCTCCAGAAGCCAAATTTTGTATCTGTCATCTCTGAGCCATTCCTTCCTAAATCTCTGGGAATACTGTGGCTTACCCATTTTCCAATGGGACTATGAAGGGTTCAAATTAATAAACAGCATGCAAACAAGCGGAAACTTTCCTTGATGGTTTTTGTCAAAGCGGGTGAACAGTGTCGGGGCAACTGTATGGAGTCTATGGGTCACCCATGGTGGACGCGGATGACAAGTTTGGAACCACGCAGGCTTGATAGAATTAATTCTATAAGATGTTTTGCTAATATTCTTTAAAATTTAGCGTATTAATGAAATTCATATTGCATATCTGACAAAAAGGTAAGTTACCCAGGTGCTACTAAGGCGAAGGTAACAGACAAATAAATGACGACACGGCAACATCAGCCATGGACGGGCTGACATGAAGTGATCAGGAAATAGACGTGTCCCTCCTTCTGTACCACGACCCCTTCAAATGTATTAAACTTTTCTTATTATTTATTGTCCCTGTAACCCCGTTGCTATATATTATGGCTCGAAATTAGGAAAACTGAGTATTCATGGACAGTCCAAAAGTATCCAGAAAGTCGCTAGATTTCTGTGGATATCTATAGATTTGAGACAAGTCGCAAATCGCTCTAAAATGTCGCTAGAAAAAACCAAAAAGCTCTAGATCTAGCTACAAAGTCGCTAAGTTGGCAACTCTGTTCACTGTGTTCGACCAGTGCTTCGACAGCTGTACATTAATTAATTACACTTAAAGGCTCTTTTTAACGTGAAATATACAGTTAAAAAGTTCAATTACATGTAAATACAATCAACCTCATTATAAAAAGTTTATTTATGGTGAAATATTTTATTTGATATACTGTAATAATTCACAAAGTACAGTCGGATACCGTCGAATACTCTTACATTCCTGTCAACGTCAAACTTATACATTTACTTTTATCCTCTTTGCCACTGATCGGCTCGCTAGCCACCCGGGCGATCGGTCACGTCTCTGTCACGCACTGTTGGCAAATACTGGGCATGCACCGGCTCCTGAATGTACCTGAACCCGCTCCAGTGTTGGTCAAGTCTTCTCTTGAAAGAGCTCACACTCGGTGCCGTCACAACACTCTCTGGTAAATTGTTCCAAGAGTTTACAACCCTCACTCCGAAAAAGTTTGCCCTCACGGTTTTCTGGACTTGCGGCTTCTTCAATCTTGAGCTGTGACCCCTTGTGGGGCGAGCGTCCGCCAGCTCCAAGTAAGGACACTCAACTGAGTAGTGCCCCCTGAGATGCTTATACACCTCAACTGGGTCCCCCCTTGCCCGTCTGTAGTATAAGCTAGGCAAGTTCAGGCGCTCCAATCTCTCAGGGTAGCTGAGGTGTCGAAGTGCAGGCACCAGTCTGGTGGCCCTCCTTTGAACATTTTCAACCAACTGACAGTCCCTAGCATATCTCGGGGACCAGATGGGGTGACAGTACTCCAGATGGGGAAGCACTTCACTCCTGAAGACGGTCCGTCTAGATATCTGAACGACCTTCTTATAAGACCCAATAATTTATTTGCCTGATTTACCTTCTTCTCACAATGGCCCGAGAACTTCAGCTCATTGTCAACATACACACCTAGGTCCTTCTCACACACAGTCTCAACTAGCGCAGTTTCTTCATCCCGTTGGGACATATGATACGCCTCCTTACCGTTGGTACGCCCCAGGTGCATCCTCTTACACTTCGTGACATTGAATCTTAGCAGCCATTTCTTCGACCATTCCTGGAGCCCACAGAGATCTTTCTGCAGCTCTTCACAGTCCGCTTGGTTCTTAATTTCCCGAAATAACTTGGCGTCATCGGCAAACATTTGTATGGAGGAGTGTACAACGTCAGGCATGTCATTTATGAAACAAACAAACAACAGCGGGCCCAATACACTGCCCTGTGGTACCCCACTTGTGATAGGTACAGATGATTTCGTACCATTAATCACCACACACTGCTTGCGGGTCATGTAGAAAGTCTTCTATCCACGCTAGGACATTTCCCCGAATTCCGTACCCTTCCAGTTTGATTTTAAGCCTTTCGTGGGGTACACTGTCGAAAGCCTTGGCAAAATCTAGGTAAATACCACCCCGTTCCAGAATATGGGTCCAAATATCCAATACCTTGAACAATTGTGTTAAGCAGGAGCGCCCCGGCATAAAACCGTGTTGGCAATCTTGTACAAGGTTGTTTCGTATTAGATGTTCCATTGCGGCATCTCTGATAATACTCTCAAGTACTTTACATATTATGCTGGTCAGGCTCACCGGTCTATAGTTGTTCGTGGAGTGACGATCGCCCTTCTTGAAGACAGGACTCACATAAGCCACTTTCCATTCACTGGGGACCATTTGTTCGTCCAGTTATTTACAAAACAGGATCTTCAGGGGCTCTGCAAGCTCGTTGCACAACTCTCTTAGCACTCTAGGATGCACCATGTCAGGTCCGGGACTTTTATGGACCTTTAGCCTGGACAGTTTATTTCTAATACCCTCTTCTGTGAACACAATGTGGGTCAGTGCTGTGTCGAACCGTCTGTCCTCAAACGCAGGAAGGTTAGTTGCATCCTCTCTTGTGAACACTGAGGAAAAGAAGCTGTTCAATGCCTCAGCTTTATCCTGGTCAGAATCTGCGTAACTACCATCCACCAGCTTCAGGTCTGATATTCCTACTCGCGTTTTCAATTTCGACTTTGCATAGCGGTAAAACGCCTTTGGGTTTGACTTGACCTCGCTTGCAACCAGCCTCTGGAACTCCTTTTCAGCCCTCCTACACTCTATCTTTGCTTGGTTTCTGGCTCTTGCATACATCCTCCTGTCTTGCTCATCGTTTGACCCAACCCACGTCTTGAATTACTGGGTTTTCTTCTGAATTTTGTCGACCGCCGCATGGTTCATGTGTAGGGATCCCCTCATATTCCTAGAAGCACTGGGTTTGGTCTTGGTCTTGGTACAGTATATTATAAATTCCTTATAATAACTTCCTGACATTGAATCATCATTTGGGATATAAAACTTCCATCACATGTCTTAATTTATTTTGAACATGACATACAGACAAGTTTTCGCTCTATCCTGTAGAGCTTAAGTGAACCAGAACACGTCTTAGTGATACATTATTCCCAAGAGGCATTTTTTAGTAAATATTTCCTTAACTGCAACATTCGAAATATTAAAACAGAGTCAGAATAACATCATATTGACTATATGACGTCATCTTCCTCACCTCTAAGGAAAATGCAATCCTTTAGAAAATTATTTTATACAGTTCATGATTTATAAACTTAAATAAAAAGTAACTTCCTTACAAATAGAGTCGTAAGTTTACTGTGGCTGGCTTATAGTAAGTGTAAATAATATTATAAGCTAGTGACAAGTGTGAGTTATATCTACAGTCACACAATGCTGGGAGTACACAGTCGCATGTACAAGTTAACACAGAGTAGGAGTGAACACTTGAGTGGATGAATGTCTAGCTCAGAGTAAGGTAAAAGAGAGGGAAGGAAATTGTGTCAAGAGAGAACCTGAGTGGTCATTTAACAAGAACAACACCACTCACACAACCATACTCCACCACACACCAACAGTGGCTAGGTGGAGATGATGTGCTGGAGGTATGGTGTGAACGCTAGAGTAAGGAAAGGTTGGAGTGGCAACTCTGGGCTCTCAAGTTACACTGTTGTAAGAAAACTAATGAGAATTCTCCGGTAATGTCTTTGGTATTGAAACAAAATCTGAATCATATAAATCAGCTATGTCTCAACTGTGTATGCACACCATTGTCTAAGTCGTTCAAATTTTCGTTTCCTGTAATGGGTTGAGAGATAAGTAATGAAGAGGGACCCTGTTAAATATCTATACGTTATTCATGTACTTTTAATGTCTTCCTCACACCTCCACCCAGACTAGCTTATACCTAATGACCACGTGACAGTCAGCTTTTGTTTGTCCCTTTGTTGATGTTCATCGATCTGGCATTTCCAGATAAATTACATCAAACACAAGAGCTTGGTCGATAACTACCGCTTGTGAGGTGGAGTAAATATGTCTGAATTCAGTTGTGTGGTTGGGTCACCTGTATGCTTCACCCCAAAGTCCCACGAGAACCAACAAATATCTTCTTCAACGAAAGTTTGAACGACGTACAAACTGTAAGAAAGTAGAATAGATTCAAAAGAAAGTAGAAATAAGTTCATAAAGAATGAAAGACTGGAGGACAAGTTACATATAAGAAGTGAAAGTATTGCTGTGAGAACTAACTATCGCATGTTAAATCTGGAGTTTCTTAACTGTAATACTGGTACTGCTACTATTTCTACAACAATGCCATGTGAACAGAGCTTGCAGACTGTGATGTGGACCCCAGCTGGGTATTTTGAGCCAACGTGTATGAGACAATTTGCTCTATTCAAAATATTTAAATTCTTGACCTTAAAAAAATTCACAGGAGATTGACAAAGAAAGCATTAGTTACAATCAACAAAAAATATATAATATGTACATTTTTTAGTGCGGCGACCAAAATGATAAGACACTATTACAACAACTGTGTGCAGGTGACGCGAGGGAAGGGGGCAGGTGACAGTAAACACGCAAACAGATAAACAAGCTTCTGTCAGTGTTTTAACCCAGCTTCTTGATCCCTTTTGTTCATCTCTTGGTTCTAACAGTCCTCTCGGCGCCCAAAGGCTCTCCGGGGTGTCTCAGAGGGTATTGCAAGGCATCAAAGGTGCCTCAGTGGACATCACAAGGCATCAATGGAGTCTCAGAGGACATTGCAAGGCATCAAGGAGACCCCAAGTCGTACCAAAGAGTCTTATAAATGTTAAAAGGTTTCTAAAGATATATACAGATGCACAAAGAAGTCTGAAGGAATCCTAGACGCTAAGTCCTCTACGAGCACAAAGCAAAGTTACATTCATCAGTATAAGACGGACTCGAGCAGGTTAGGTTCCAGATCCTCAAAGATTCATTGGTTAAATTTCTCTTCCATAGCTTGGGGAACAAGAGAACTTATCTGATAACGGTAGAGGCTTAGGGCAATTTCGACGCCATTTTGATATCGATTTTATACCTTAACTTACTTGAGTTATCAGATATGTTCTACCGTCTCCTGTTGAGGAAAATTTAGACATAAGATCCCCTGAGAACCAGATCTTGGTGATCTATATAAGGCTGTTATCATATATACGTACGTTAATACACTTAGTTGTTGTTCAGGTATACATTATACAATTATATATGGCAAATGTTTACCTAGCACAGGTATACATTGCATATGTATACAATCCTAATATGTACATAACAGAGTTATACATATCTTATGTATATATACTTAAAATATACATAACACAGGTATACATAGCATAGGTATACGAACCTAAAATATACGTGGCACACGTATACATTGCACATCTATATATTACATTGGTATACCTACCATTTGCATACACCATAGAGGTGTACACAGCACAGATATACATCATAATTATACATAACGTAAGTAGTGTTACAAAAACTGGTCATATGGCAGACAATGGCCAGGGTGTCATTGGGCGCACGAGAAGTCAGGTTACCGTTAGGCGAAGAGGGTGCCGTTGGCTGCATGAAAGGTCGGGTTACCGCCAGGTGAAGCGAGTGTCGTCAGGCGCACGTAGAGTTACAGCCAGGCGAAGGTTTGTTCTTGAGCACCAGCTGAAGTACACACACGCATACACCCATACTATTGGACGCTAGGCGGGTCCTAGTGAGCTGTAGGGGATTGGACACACAGATATTAGGAAGTTATCGAAATAGGCGTGATGATTAATTAAACATTAAAAAAACTATTGAAACATCACTAAAATTAATTAAACACTACATAAACAAAGAAAAGAATACTTTAACTCAACAATACTAATAATGAGTTAATCAAACACTACTGAAAGAGTCAAACAAACAAAATCAAACTTAGCGCTAATGTACTTACATAAACAAAAATAAAAGATAACGAAAGAAAAAAGAAAAGAAAAAAGACATACTTAAAATAAACACAATGTAACTAAGCTTATCTTTAAAATAATGCAGATAACAAGTATATTTTGCTGATGAATGGAGTGTATAGTTAATATAGGTATGGTGCGGTCAGCTGTTGATATCTAAGGCTATTGATGGTGCGGTCAGCTGTTGATATCTAAGGCTATTGATGGTGCAGTCAGCTGTTGATATCTAAGGCTATTGATGGTGCGGTTCAACTGTTGATATCTAAGGCTATTGATGGTGCAGTCAGCTGTTGATATCGAAGGCTATTGATGGTGCGGTCAGCCGTTGACATTTGATGGTGCGGTCAGCTGTTGATATTTAACATGGTGCGTCATACAGTATACCAGGACTGAGTATAACTCCTACCTGAGCTCGCTGGCCAGTGTTCCATCGTAGCCACAAGACACATAAGCATCCTCAAGTACTATAACCAAACGCACCGCATCAACAGTTGAGAAAATTTATATGTGAATAAATACTGTAATATGCTTGAGCTTCAAACCTGTAACTAGAGAAATATAAATGGAGTATCATATGAAAAACTATTCTACTGTCAATACTATTCCTGTGTTTTGGGGGACATTTTACACTCTAACGTATGAGCTTTCGGTCACTTCATTGGATGTATCACTTAGACTTGAAATGAAGCTCGCACTTCTGGACTTGTTGTGACCAGCCTTCAAGTTCAACCTGTTGAGTGAGGTTTTGGTTGAGGAGTTAAGATTTGGAGGAGGGAGGGCAGTTAAGAAGGAGGTCGGTGAGGAGGGATATTGGAGGATTACGGTAGCAACAGTCTCCCCCGATCCCACTTGTGGTTGGTTCTCTACTGAGATTAATTGCGTGTCTGAGGCTTTTGCTGTTATTTGCTGCAGGGATCCAGTGTGTTGTGTAAAGTAACTACTGTATGAACTACGCTCAGGCAAGTTAACTGCGCGGGCCTCGAGGCTGTGAGTAAAGTCACCCGTTAAATCTGTTGCTTCGCTTAATGCATTAGAAGCTGGTATGATGGGTGGTGTGACTCTATGGGGTGTGGTAGAACCTAACGCTTGACGAGGGAAGTGTCGTTTCACATTTTGTAGCTGCCATAGTAAGTTGGGGCCGTATTGGTGGAAGGCATCAACACCTGAAGGGAGACTAAACCTGGGTACTGGGAATTCAGTGAAGCTCTCCACTGTGTCGTCATCATCATCAACAGTAATTGTCGTTATCGGAATGATGTGTTCAGAGAGGTCATTTGTATCACCGCGTTCAGTAGATTGTATTAGGGTAGGGGGTGAGGGCCTGTTGATGACAAAGTTACTGATTCTCCAGCCACTATCACCAAAGTCGTTGGTAAGTGTGTCGTGTGGGAGGCTGCTGGGAGTGACAGCAAAACTACTTGTTACTTCATTAGATCTTACAAAACTGGGCGGAAGATTTACCACAAAATTATCGCCAGGAAAGTTATCTAGTCTAGGATCTCTAAACTCTCCGGATACTTTATCATCCCCACCGCCAAAAGTGTTGCTGCTGATGCTACCACCACTACCGCTGTTGACGAAAGTAAAAAGTGAATTTTCAGGACCGGTGGACTCATTTGATGTGTCAGGGAAGGTTGTCTGTGCAGGATTGAATGTGGGAGGGACAGGAGGGTTGGTGACTGTGGTGGCTGGCCAGTAGGAGGTAGATGGAGGTCGAATAGGGCTTGGGGCAGGTGGAAGGGGTAGATCAGGTCTTGTGGAAGATGGAGTTGTGAAATCGTCTGTTATAATCCAGAAAGGTGTATTAGTAGAAGGTGGAGGGTTTGTGTATATGTTGGTCGGGGGCGCTGGTTGTGGCCTGATTGTGGTGGTAGGGACATATATGGGTGGAAGAGGTGTGGGTGGGAGTGGTCTAGGAGGGAGAGGTGTGGGTGGGTGTGGGAGAGGTGTGGGTGGGTGTGGGAGAGGTGTGGGTGGGTATGGTCTAGGTGGGAGAGGTGTGGGTGGGAGTGGGAGAGGTGTGGGTGGGAGTGGTCCAGGCGTGGGTTGGAGTGGGAGAGGCGTAGAGACCCCTAAACCTCCATGATGCACCACACAGGGAGTTGGACTTCCGTGATAGTGCCAATAAGGTTTAGAGGACAACACGGGCCTAGCAGTACCATAAGAGTGAGGTTTAGGTTTAATAGTGGTAGTGTAGGTGTGGGAGACCCAATCATGAGTGGGGTGAGGAACATATTCATTGCTGTTGCCTGGTCGCCCGTGTCCTGGCCAAGGCCTAGGAGGGTCGTACACTATGGCTGGGGGACAATGAATTACGTGGCACTTGGGGGTCACTGACACCACCACGGGCCTCGAAGTCTGGTAGGGCGCACCTGTAGGGGGAACGGCGTAGCTGGAGGTAGGTACTGGTGGTGGATGGTGAGGCACGGGGGCTGGGTGGTGAGGCACGGAGGGGACGCCATATCCAGTGTCGACTAGGACGATATCTTCAGGTTTTGGGGCACCGTATGGGATGTGGCCCGTGGGGGGAGCACCGTAACTGGTCGGGGGAGGGCCATAGGTTGCCTTGGGGGGAGGGCCGTAGCTGGCCTTGGGAGGAGGACCGTAACTGGCCTTGGGAGGAGGACCGTAACTGGCCTTGGGAGGAGGACCGTAACTGGCCTTGGGAGGAGGCCTTGGGAGGAGGACCGTAGCTGGCCTTGGGAGGAGGACCGTAGCTGGCCTTGGGAGGAGGACCGTAGCTGGCCTTGGGAGGAGGACCGTAACTTTGCACTGTGGAAACAAAAGAGAAAAATAATTAATCAGACTGTACTTAATGACTGCAGACTTTATAGCTATATCAGTTTATAAGGCAGGGTACTACAGACTCACTGAGTGTTATACCTGGCACCACGTAGACGGGGTAGCCGCCCTTGCTGCCGCCCTTGTTGCCGCCCTTGTTGCCCTTACTGGTGAAGGACTTAAACTTGTCCTGCAGGTCACCGATGAACTTGTCTTTCATGGCATCAAAACTTCCTTTCATTTTGTCAAAACCTCCTTTCATTGAGTCATAGCCTCCTTTCATAACATCATAGCCGCTCTTGATTTTATCCTTGATTCCCTTCAGTGCGTAATCCTTGGCTTTGATGATCGAGCCTAAGCCAAATGAACCTTTGCCCTGGGGAAAAAATATTTATCTTACGTTAAGTGAGTTTTGATGATGATGAAAATAATAAGAAAATAAAAATAAATAAATAATAATAATAATAATAATAATAATAATAATAATAATAATAATAATAATAATAATAATAATAACCAAATGTGACAACACTAAAGATGAAACAGATGTAAACAAAACTAGTCATTTATATTTACCTTCCCTTTGCCTTTGCCATAGCTGGGTCGGGGTGCGTAGTGCATGATAACAGGGGGTGGACCATAATGGGCTGTTGGAGGAGGTCCGTAGGTTGCTTTTGGCGGCCCGTAGGTTGCTTTTGGCGGTCCGTAGCTTGGTGAAGGTGGAGGGCCGTAGCTTGGTGAAGGTGGAGGGCCGTAGCTTGGTGAAGGTGGAGGGCCGTAGCTTGGTGAAGGTGGAGGGCCGTAGCTTGGTGAGGGTGGATGGCCATAGCCAGTGGAAGGAGGTGGATGGTCAGCCAAGGCGAGGCCAGCCAGAGCGACCAAAAGCATTACGTACACCTGTTCAAAAAACAAACAAGACAATGTAAATAATGAACTTAGGTCACAGCGGTACTCCCTCCATCTGGTGACTATTGTATTGATTATTTACAAAAGTTCTGAAGCGAATTTTAATCGCCAAGTGTTAGCCGAACCCAAAGCAGCTTGTCCTGATGGGCGGAAATGCATTAACTCCATCTTGATCAGTTCCTTTGGGTCAGGCTAATATTCGACGATCAAAACTCACTTCAGGACTTTTGTAAATAATGAATATAAAACCCTGTATACCGTATATTGCCAAATGGATTAATAAATAAGTTAGTTAAAGTTTCGAGAACAATATTATGGAGTCTGAAGTTATGAAATACAACCTAAGTTGATTTAGGACCGAGTTTTCCTTGTCCTATTGAAGTCACGGCCACCACACCAAATGATCAAGGTACTTTATAGCAATTTATATTCAGTTAATAAAAAAAAATAGTTTTGTGTTCCACAATTTATTTATTCAGATGAGTTTAAATTCTGGTATTTTATTTTTAAGGATTTCCAATGGGAGTCTCAGCCAGGAGAGCAATTATTGTGTGGTGGTCAGGGTAAAGTATCCACCGAACATCCCCCTTCACTAAACACCACAGTACCACAGCATCAGAGGCTCTCCTAGTCCCTTCTGCTCATTCCGTATTCAGTCCGCAGCACATAGCACTTTCTAGTCCCCCTTTGGAATGTGGATAAATTCTCTCCCTCTCTCTTTCCAAGTTAAGATGTTTGTCTTTTCTTTAAGCCTAATCGCCCTTTTGTCTGTCTTTCTCTTCATCATCACCACCACCATCACCATCACCATCATCACTACCATCATCATCGTCACCACCAATACCATCAGTCCATCACCACCACTATACTACCATCACCATTATCGTCATCACCAACTACCATCAGTCCATCACCACCACTATACTACAAATACCATCATCATCATCACCAACATCATCGTCACTACCACCATCTCCACCACCATCATCATCACCACCACTACCATCAGTCCATCACCATCACTATACTACCATCATCAACACCACTACCATCACCACCACCACCATCAGAGTGCCTGCATCAATATCACCATTAACACTTTAAGGGGTCATCACCTCTCTACCACAGTTAAGGGCGTTTGACCCCTAGAGGTCATCACTAAACATTTCCTCCTTTCTCGACGGGCAGGGGGTGGTGAGGGTGGCGCAGGGGCTGGTGTGGGTGGCGCAGGGGCTGGTGGTTGGGCGTTGTGTATGGGTGTATGGGAAGGGTTTGGATGCATGGGAGAGGTGTGAGCAGGTGGGATCTCCGTGAGACAGCTCGATACATTTCCACACCTACAATTAAAGGAGAAATTAACAAACCAACTTAATAAATTCATCTTTGTGTTATAAAAGGTGAATCCATTACGTAAAAAATTTAACAAACATTACTCTGAGAATGATGGGAGTTGTATTAGTTGGCGCATGGGGCAGACTGCTCCAAAACCAGGGTTCACAGTTAACAATATCACGTTCCGACCCTCGTATTCTACTATTTCCTGTTGACGAGCGGCCCTCTGGATGATTCAGGGAAACTATCTGTATTGTTGACGATCAAACAGGAAGGCAGGTAAAGTTCCGGGTCATATAAGGAAGGTCACGGAGGGAGGCGGGGAACTTTTACAACAACAAGTGATGATGAGAAAGTGAAACATTTTTTATAGGAGTGAACATGAGGATGTTTTTATAGAGAATGAAAAATATTATATATATGGCTGGAGAAAACGTAAATAATGGAAGGAAAACCAGACATAAAAGAAGCAAAACGAAAATCAGTAAAATCAATTATCTACTGTATGTGTGTGTGTGTGTGTGTGTGTGTGTGTGTGTGTGTGTGTGTGTCGGGAAGATGAAGAGCACAGGAGAAAGTTGAGGTGAAAGTTTAGACACAGAAGTACCCAACTCCTGCTCCTTAAAACTAATAAACGCTTCCCTTAAAACTATTAAATGATTCCCTCAAAACCATTAAACGCTTCCCTTAAAACTATTAAACGCTTCCCTTTAAATTAAAACACTTCCCTTTAAATTAAAACACTTCCCTTAAAACTATTAAAAGCTTCCCTAAAAACTATTAAACGCTTCCCTTAAAACTATTAAACGCTTCCCTTTAAATTAAAACACTTCCCTTAAAACTATTAGGAGTGAATAAATTCCTAAACCGAGAAAAGTTTTGTGAAACACTTAATAATTATTGACAGGTTAAGAATATTCTAATTTTCTGGAAGTTTTGACCAAATTTTGTCTTATTCTTCTTTTGTTTTAACTTAGTAGCTCGTGTGTGGTGTAATGAAGATGCTGGTGGTACAATGGCAGTGAACTTGCTTCTTACAAATAAGTCCCGGGTTCGAGCCTGCGGTGGATATGGGGAGGTATGGTCGGTACTGAACTCTCCCAGGCGCCGAGGTGTTCCCCTGTGCTAACACTAGACTGGGGGACGACAAACACTGGAGGCTTTAAACAACACACCACCTTTCTTCCCCCAACAAAGGGATAGGTTAAATATTTACTCCGTTTCACCGAAGACGTTAGGTTAGGTTAGTAGTGATGATATATAAAATTTCATAATACTGATAAATGAACTTTTGACATGACGAGTTTAGAAGCGAGATAACAGTGTAGTGATGCGTCAGTACAAGACTCGCTGGAAGGCTGTGTCATCACTACTCCCGGTCAACAGGTTCTTGCCTCTCTGACTGGATATTCATGTTTAGTAAAAACCCGTTAGAAGTGTCTGTGATCGCTCAAACAAGATATCACACACACATATACACACACACATATACACACACACCGCCATAAGATTGAGCCATGCGTCTATGGGATTAACTCAGGATTTCAAAGTAATTATTATTATGTATACATCAGCAAGAATTTTATATAAGGAGTACAAATCATAATCAATATGGGATTTTAGGAGAGAAAACAAAAAAGAGGTGATGGCAGAAAGCAAAATCAACCAGTTAAGCAGGAATTTGTGATTGTAAACAAAATATTGAATGAAGTTATACGCTACGTCATGCTTGCAGTCAGGCAGGTAAGGAGGCAGGCACACTTCCCACTCGTTGTTGCAGTGTTGAAGGATCAGCTGAGAGCTCAACGACCTGACCTTCCCGTGTTGTAGATAAAAACACTTAGCAACAAGGCTCATTCCACACACCAGACAGCCCTTGCCCTTTACCAGGTGGTTTTACGATGATATGTGGAAGATAACAACTGGTAAAGAGGGTGTTTTGTGCTCTGATTGAGGGAGGGGAAAATGGCAAAGGGAAGGAGAGAAAGGGAGGGGCGTCGAGAAGGAGTGGGAGATAGGGTCAAAGAGTATGACAGGATTTTTATCAAGTATTTAGTTGGACACCGTGAGTGAGTGAATGTAGATGCTCTGCTTTTTAAGGAACTGACCTAAACACAAAAACCTCTCTAGGCTGGTGACAGAATGCTATCTGGGTCCGTGATGGTGGTAGTAGTGGTGGCGGGTGATAGTAATGGTGGTAGTAGTTGGTTGGTGGTAGTCGTGGTTGATGGTGGTATTAGTGGTGGTGTGGGTGATGGTAATGGTGGTAGTAGTGGTTGGTGGTGGTGGTAGTGATGATAAAGGTGAAAAAATGCACAAGGAAGGACTGATGGGTAGTGGTGGTGATGTGTGGTGGTATGAGAGGGCAAAGAACTACTACCTCCTCCCCTCTCCTTCTTCACCCTCCTCCTGCCCTCCCACCACATGACCCCCCCAATCTCCAGTACTTTACGGACCCTTACAGACTTTCTCGTGGATTGAGGCGTAGTTGATGAATATGAAATCAGCAACTACTGGCCTTATACCACTGTGATGTACCCTGTGGTGTACCCCCTACTACTGTGGTGTACCCTTACTACTGTGATGTGCCCCTTACTACTGTGATGTACTTGCCACTACTGTGGTGTACCCCCTTACTACTGTGATGTACACTTACTACTGTGTAAGTGCCCCCCCCTCACTACTGTGATGTACCTTACTACTGTGGTGTACCCCGCCTACTGTGATGTACCCTTACTACTGTGGTGTACTGTGATACTGTGATGCTTGCCTGCTGTGGTGTGCCCCCTTACTGCCCCTTACTACTGTGATGTACCCCTTACTACTGTGGTGTACCCCTTACTACTGTGTGTACCCCCTTACTACTGTGATGTACCCCCTACTACTGTGATGTACCCCCTTACTACTGTGATGCCCCCTTACTACTGTGATGTACCTTACCATGGTGTGCCCCTTACTGCTGTGATGCTTGCCCACATACTGCTGTGGGGTGTGCCCCCTTACTACTGTGGTGTACTGCTGTGTGGTGTACCCCCTTACTGCTGTGGTGTGCCCCCTTACTGCTGTGATGTACCCTTACTGTGATGTACCCCCTTACTACTGTGATGTGCCCCCTTACTACTGTGATGTGCCCACCTTACTACTGTGGTGTACCCTTACTGCAACTGTGGCCCCCCTTACCACTGTGGTGTGCCCCCTTACTACTGTGATGCCCCCTTACTACTGTGTGTGCCCCCTTGCCTGCTGTGGTGTGCCCCCCTTACTACTGTGTGTGCCCCTTACTACTGTGATGTGCCCCCACTACTGTGGTGTACTTACTACTGTGGTGTGCCCCCTACTACTACCCATGATGTGCCCCCTTACTACTGTGATGTGCCCTTACTTGCCCCTTATGTGCCCCCTTACTGCTGTGTGTGTACTACTGTGGTGTGCCCCTTACTGCTGTGACTACTGTGATGTGCCCCCTTTACTACTGCAGTGTGCCCCTTGCTACTGTGGTGTGCCCTTACTGCTGGTGTGCCTTGCTACTGTAGGTGCCCCCCCTTACTACTGTGATGTACCCCTTACTATGTGGTGTACTACTGTGGTGTACCTGTAGTGTACCCCTTACTACTGTGATGCCCCTTACTGCCCCCTTACTGTGGGTGTACTGCTGTTAC